AGAGCGAGAAGTTACCTGTTCTAATATCTTGGTGTTGTGGCTGTGAGAGGGGAGGGGGGGGGGGGGCTTGCTGTAGGAGCATTCATGTACTCTGTACTGTTTTTGTACACAGGTATACTCATGTAAAGAGATATACTCATGTACTCTTCACAGACTCACACATACAGGTCTGTGAGTGTCCACAGACACACACAGGTCTGTGAGTCTCCACAGACACACACAGGTCTGTGAGTGCCCACAGACACACACAGGTCTGAGTCTTCACAGACTCACACAGGTCTGTGAGTGCCCACAGACACACACAGATCTGAGTCTTCACAGACTCACACAGGTCTGTGAGTGCCCACAGACACACACAGGTCTGAGTCTTCACAGACTCACACAGGTCTGTGAGTGCCCACAGACACACACAGGTCTGAGTCTTCACAGACTCACACAGGTCTGAGTGCCCACAGACACACACAGGTCTGAGTCTCCACAGACTCACACAGGTCTGAGTGCCCACAGACTCACACAGGTCTGAGTCTCCACAGACTCACACAGGTCTGAGTGCCCACAGACACACACAGGTCTGTGAGTGCCCACAGACTCACAAAGATAGAGGACATCATCCAGCAGCGACTAATTACCTTCCCCATCTCAGCTTGCCAGCTGACTCTCACCTGAGTATCGCTGTCCCGGAGTTATTACTGAATTAATTAATCCTTTGTAATCCTGAAAAATTATACTATGGCTCAACCCAGTTTTACCCGCCGAGCGGACGTGAAGCTGGCGTCTGTACTCTCTGTCTCCTCACCTAGTTGTACTCCCCTAGCTGAGCTTTGTGGGGTCGAGCTTCTGCTCTTAAGCCACGCTTGTCTATCGTTATTAATACCATGTTTGACTCGTTGTTCGTATCATATCTACATTTATAGCTGTGTATCGGATTAGCATAGATACCTTCATTTTTTTATTTTTTTTCAAACACACACACACACACACACACACACACACACACACACACACACACACACACACACACACACACTTTACATAATTTAACACAAGGGGCACACGCACTAGGGGACACAGGTGGAAACTGAGTGCCCAAATGAGCCACAGAGATATTAGAAAGAACTTTTTTAGTGTCAGAGTAGTTGACAAATGGAATGCATTAGGCATTGATGTGGTGGAGGCTGACTCCATACACAGTTTCAGGTGTAGATATGATAGAGCCCAATAGGCTCAGGAACCTGTACACCTGTTGACTGACGGTTGAGAGGCGGGACCAAAGAGCCAAAGCTCAACCCCCGCAAGTACAATTAGGTGAGTACACACAGATTTAGTTTGGACGTGACAGGCTATAGGCCCCATGTGTGTGTGTGTGTGTGTGTGTGTGTGGGTGTGTGTGTGTGTGTGGTGTGTGGTGTGTGTGTGTGTGTGTGTGTGTGTGTTGTGTGTGTGTGTGTGTGTGTGTGTGTGTGTGTGTGAGTGTGTGTGTGTGTGTGTGTGAGTGTGTGTGTGTGTGTGTGTGTGTGTGTGGTGTGTGTGTGTGGTGTGTGTGTGTGTGTGTGTGTGTGTGTGTGTGTGTGTGTGTGTGTGTGTGTGTGTGTACTCACCTATATGTACTCACCTATATGTGCTTGCAGGATCGAGCATTGACTCTTGGATCCCGCCTTTCTAGCTATCGGTTGTTTACAGCAATGACTCCTGTCCCATTTCCCTATCATACCTAGTTTTAAAAGTATGAATAGTATTTGCTTCCACAACCTGTTCCCCAAGTGCATTCCATTTTTCTACTACTTCTGTGTGTGTGTGTGTGTGTGTGTGTGTGTGTGTGTGTGTGTGCAGTAACCAGGTTGTGGTAAAGGAGAGCCGCTCTCCACGGCGTGTCAGTGTTAAGACAAAGAGCTGTTGAAATTGAATATTTATTTATCAATGAATATTTACTCATCTGAACATGAAAATACCTCTGTGTTGTTCATCATGATGCATGGTGAACTGTTTCATGCACAGAATTCCTTTGTTTACACTTTTGCTGGCCAAAAAAAATCAAAATTATTTTAACAAATATGGATTATATCTGTATGATTCCTGCTACACAATAGTGAACATACTGAACAAGTGCTGTAGTTGCAGCTACACACTAGTGAACATTCTGAACAAGTGCTGCACTGACTGCAGGCGACCAATCATTTTTTCCCCTCCTTATTACTTTAAAGATTTTGAACATGACAGCCCCATCATCATCTTGTCTCCGCGGCCTCGCGTCCCCATCAGCTGACCCGTAATGACCCCATTTGACCTTAGTGGTGGGAAAAGGCTAAATGTCAGACTTCGGGTTAATCTCCTCTTTCCCGAAGGCGTCTTATCAAGCGGGGTCATCGCCTCTCGAAGGCTGGTGACCTCAGATTGCCTTCAGAGCCGCCTTGACCTCTGGCGTGCCCAGTACAAATGGTAATTACCAGTTTATAATAACTTACAACGACTCGAGTTGAGCCGATGTGAACAATAAGTTGTAATAACCTGATTTGACCTGCGCTTGCCTGGGCGCCTGGCTGGAGGTGACCTCTGACACGCACGGAGGTGATGACCTCTCTGGTAAATGATATAGTGATGTGATGATCCTCCAGGTGATCTGTAATGACCTATTAGCAGATATATATATGTCTGCCATACAACTAGGGTCGTCGGCCACAGCCCTTCTGGGATAAGCTCTCTAGTTGTCTTTCCTGGCCAATCTAGTGACTTTCAGTGACCTTCAGTGACCTCAGGCGACCTCCAGTGACCTCCAGTGACCTTCAGTGACCTGCAGAGACTTGCAGTGACCTCTCTTTGAAACTAAGGGAATCTAATATCCTCTCCATATCCTCCGACGAGCATTTCTGGCTACCTCTGAAGACCTTTTAAATCTCCAACATTTAAATTTTGCCCCGAGGGGCGAGTTTATTGGGAACATTTCGCTGGAAACCTGTTAAGCTCCTGGGGCCCTCTCCTGGGGCTCCTCTCCTGGGCCCTCTCCTAGACCCTCTCCTGGGGCCGTCTCCTGGGGCCCTCTCCTGGGGCCTCTCCTGAGGTCCTCTACTGGAGCCCTCTCTTGGGGCCTCTCCTTGGCCCTCTCCAGGGCCCTCTTCTGGGGCCCTCTCTTGATGCCTCTCCTGGGGCCCTCTCCTGGGCCCTCTCCTGGGGCCCTCTCCTGGGGCCCTCTTCTGGGGCCCCTCTCCTGGGGGCCCCTCTCCTGGGGCCCTCTCCTGGGGCCCTCTCCTGGGGCCCTCTCCTGGGGTACTGGGGTGAACACGGTGTGGCTGGTGGTGTGAGAGAGGAGGGAGTGAACACGGTGTGGCTGGTGGTGTGAGAGAGGGGGCTGAACACAGGTGTACCAGCCCTGGTGTTCCCGTAGCTCCCACAACGCTACAAAACCTACAAGCTTCTGATTGCTGCTCCTGGTGAGATTTATAATCCCCGGAGATGTTTTTTCCTTCCGCCTCGACTGGGATTACCCGTCTCCTTGAAGGGGATTTAGACGGGCAGAATTTTATGACCAGGACAGAGGAGGGGAGAGTTGGGGGCAGGAGAAGGGGGGCAAGGCAAGAACAGAGGGAAGATGGGAATATTGAGAAAGAATAGAGCTGAGGAAAGAATACCGATAGGCATGGTAGGCATCTCCTACCTAACATGAGGTAGGAACTGTCTATCATGAGGTAGGAGCTGCCTATCATGAGGTAGGTACACCTTGCACACGCGTGTGTGAGGTACACCTTGCACACGCGTGCGTGTGTGGTACACCTTGCACGCGCGTGTGGGGTGCACTGCATACAAATTTTCAGATCCATTAAACGATCATTCACCTACATATGTTGTCATAACATTGCTTATTTATAGTCTATAATAATGTATTAGACATGTTTAACCGTGATGGGTAGTTCCCCCTCCTTGTCCATCACGGCGCCCAGCTGACCCACGGCCGTCGACGCGGGTCAGAGCGAGGTCAACTACTGGGTGAGGTCAAAGGTCACACCCTCCGCTGTCCTCAACGCCCCACGGCACTCCTCGACAACTTTAAGCACGTGTGTTTCCTGTGCTGTGCTTACCTAACTACTTCGTGTCTGGGGAGAGCAAGCTCTTGAGACTCGCCTCAGAGCTGCAGTGTCTTTCTCTATGTCATACTGAGTACCATAGGACTTCTTCCCTCCCTTTCTCACTCGACTTCAAAGTATTACAGTTGTTCGTGTTTATAGAATCATAATTCTTACAGGTTACAGCTGTTAGGTCTCTGTCTCTGTCTCTGTCTCTCTCTGTCTCTCTCTGTCTCTCCTACCCCTTCCATGGTGGTGAGTGTGAGTGCGGTGAGGTTGGGACTTGATACATCCGGTGATTAACTAACAGTTGAGCCCCCCAGCCCAGCCCTGCGCCCCGGGGGGCCGGCGGACACCACCACACAGGCTGCATGACCCCTCCCCTCCCCCGGAAAGACCCACAGGGGAAGCCACACAGGATAAAAATAGGGACCATGGATACTCATGGGAACTGCCAAGGACTCCTTCAACCCACCTTGTACCAGGAACATGCTGGAGCTAAACCCAGGGTATGTTCATGCCCTCGGTACATACACATGGGACATACTTGTAATTTTGACATATATATATATATATATATATATATATATATATATATATATATATATATATATATATATATATATAAATATATATATATATATATATATATATATATATATATATATATATATATATATATATATATATATATATATATATTTCATTGAATATGACCGCATATTCTGTATTTATTATTTTCTGGTTTAGGGCTTCTATCCCTCTAACTATTTTCTTAGCATCAGGGCTTAATTGGAATAGGAGTTCTCCAAAACTCATATTCGTACTTTTAAGGTGAAGAAAAGAAGTGATTTACTATAGAGTGTATTACACTTATTTGTATAATTTGCACGACGTATATATATATATGTCCTAATGCAACTTTTTTTGGTATATATAGAGTAGTTAAAGAGTGAACACGAGCTGTAGACGGGGTGATGAACACGAGGTGTAGACGGGTGATGAACACGAGGTGTAGACGGGGTGATGAACACGAGGTGTAGACGGGGTGATGAACACGAGGTGTAGACGGGGTGAAGACACGAGGTGTAGACGGGTGATGAACACGAGGTGTAGACGGGGTGATGAACACGAGGTGTAGACGGGGTGATGAACACGAGGTGTAGACGGGGTGATGAACACGGAGATGTAGACGGGTGATGAACACGAGGTGTAGACGGGGTGATGAACACGAGGTGTAGTCGGGGTGATGAACACGAGGTGTAGACGGGGTGATGAACACGAGGTGTAGACGGGGTGATGAACACGAGGTGTAGACGGGGTGATGAACACGAGGTGTAGACGGGGTGATGAACACGAGGTGTAGACGGGTGATGAACACGAGGTGTAGACGGGTGATGAACACGAGGTGTAGACGGGGTGATGAACACGAGCTGTAGACGGGGTGATGAACACGAGGTGTAGACGGGTGATGAACACGAGGTGTAGACGGGGTGATGAACACGAGGTGTAGACGGGGTGATGAACACGAGGTGTAGACGGGGTGAAGACACGAGGTGTAGACGGGTGATGAACACGAGGTGTAGACGGGGTGATGAACACGAGGTGTAGACGGGGTGATGAACACGAGGTGTAGACGGGGTGAAGACACGAGGTGTAGACGGGTGATGAACACGAGGTGTAGACGGGGTGATGAACACGGAGATGTAGACGGGTGATGAACACGAGGTGTAGACGGGGTGAAGACACGAGGTGTAGACGGGTGATGAACACGAGGTGTAGACGGGGTGATGAACACGAGGTGTAGACGGGGTGATGAACACGAGGTGTAGACGGGGTGATGAACACGAGGTGTAGACGGGGTGATGAACACGGAGATGTAGACGGGTGATGAACACGAGGTGTAGACGGGGTGATGAACACGAGGTGTAGTCGGGGTGATGAACACGAGGTGTAGACGGGGTGATGAACACGAGGTGTAGACGGGGTGATGAACACGAGGTGTAGACGGGGTGATGAACACGAGGTGTAGACGGGTGATGAACACGAGGTGTAGACGGGGTGATGAACACGAGGTGTAGACGGGTGATGAACACGAGGTATAGACGGGTGATGAACACGAGGTGTAGACGGGTGATGAACACGAGGTGTAGACGGGTGATGAACACGAGGTGTAGACGGGGTGATGAACACGAGGTGTAGACGGGTGATGAACACGAGGTGTAGACGGGGTGATGAACACGAGGTGTAGACGGGGTGATGAACACGAGGTGTAGACGGGTGATGAACACGAGGTGTAGACGGGTGATGAACACGAGGTGTAGACGGGTGATGAACACGAGGTGTAGACGGGTGATGAACACGAGGTGTAGACGGGTGACGGCTGCTGACACCAACAGTCTGTTGCATCAAGTTATCATAAGTCAAGCCCAGGCCGGACGTGGAGCGTAGAAGAACTCCCAGAACCCACTCCAGGTATACTCAAGGTATACTCCAGATATACTGCAGGTATACTCCAGGTACACTCCAGGTACACTCTAGGTACACTCCAGGTACACTCCAGGTACACTCCAAGTACACTCCAGGTACACTCCAGGTATACTCCAGGTACACTCCAGGTACACTCCAGGTACACTCCAAGTACACTCCAGGTACACTCCAGGTACACTCCAGGTACACTCCAAGTACACTCCAGGTACACTCCAGTTACACTCTAGGTACACTCCAGATATACTCCAGGTATACTCCAGGTACACTCCAGGTACACTCCAGGTTTACTCCAGGTACACTCCAGGTATACTCCAGGTACACTCCAGGTACACTCCAGGTACACTCCAAGTACACTCCAGGTACACTCCAGGTACACTCCAGGTACACTCCAAGTACACTCCAGGTACACTCCAGGTACACTCCAGGTATACACTTATACAAAGCCGCATGTCTAACACCGTCCAAACACACACCATAAAGTGGAGGAGAAGACAGCACCAAGACGGGGTGTTGCCACACGGCCGCCATGACTGTCTGAACACACAACCACTCAACATCACATGGCGGCCGGTGGCTGAGTGGACAGCACGCTGGATACGTAATCCTGTGGTCCGGGGTTCAATTCCAGGCGCCGGCGAGAAACAATGGGTAGAGTTTTTTTTACACCCTGATGCCCCTGTTAACTAGTAGTAAATAGGTACCTGGGAGTTAGACAGCTGTTACGGGCTGCTTCCTGGGTGTATGTGGAAAAAAAATCGGGGTAACAGTTGATTGATTGACAGTTGAGAGGCGGGCCGAAAGAGCAGAGCTCAACCCCCGCAAGCACAACTAGGTTAATAACTAGGTGAATACATTATCACTACCAGCTGGCATGCCCCTGGCGCCTTGGTGGCCCAAGAGCTAAGATCCACTCGCGGAGAGCCGAGCCCCACAGTACACACTTTCAAGTTCAAAAAAATAACCCAGAGCAGAAAACCAACAAGAAAGAAAATATACTTCACAGGACGAACGTCGACTACTGCAAGTAACGTCCCTCGATACCAGGGATTTTTGTTGTCAGTTTAAAGCCCTCCTCCCCCCCCCCCACCGCCCCCCACCCCCACCTCCCTCCTACCAGCCACACATCTCCTCCCCCTCCCCAAATCTCCCCTCTTCCCCATCCTCCCCCTCCTTCTTCCCCTCTCCGCCTGTAAGGTCTCTCAATCTTTTCACCAGGCATCAACAGAGAACACACAGCCAGAGAGTGAATTACAGTAGGCCAAGTGTGAATTACAGTTGGCCAAGTGTGAATTACAGTTGGCCAAGTGTGAATTACAGACAGATTAGAGAGCAAGGATGAGAGAGGGGGACATAATAGGGAAAGAGGGGAGGAAGGAAGCCAGGAGGGAGATGGGCGAGTAAGAATGACGGAAAGAATGCTGCGTTTTGGGTGATGAAAGAATAGGAACTGGGAGAATAGAATATGAAACTGGAATGGGAGAAAAGGGGTGGAGGGGAGGGGGAGGGGTTGGGGGGGGGGGGGAGAGAGAGAAGGGAATGAGAGAAGTGGAGAGGGAAGCGGCCACTTAAGCCCCGGGAGCCGGGTGGGGGCATATGGCAGCAGATGTGGTCCTGGTCTGTTTGTTTGACCAGCTAACACTGAGCAACTCAACTAGCAAACTTTATGCCAAGAGGAAACTGATGGTGGTGGGGGTGGGGGGGAGGCAGTCGTGGTGGGGGAGAGGCAGTAGTGGTGGAGGAAGAGGCAGTAGTGGTGAGGGAGAGGCAGTCGTGGTGGGGGAGAGGCAGTCGTGGTGAGGGAGAGGCAGTCGTGGTGAGGGAGAGGCAGTCGTGGTGGGGGAGAGGCAGTCGTGGTGGGGGAGAGGCAGTCGTGGTGGGGGAGAGGCAGTCGTGGTGGGGGAGAGGCAGTCGTGGTGGGGGAGAGGCAGTCGTGGTGGGGGGGGGGGAGGCAGTCGTGGTGGGGGGGGGAGGCAGTCGTGGTGGGGGGGGGGGGGGAGAGGCAGTCGTGGTGGGGGGGGGGAGGCAGTCGTGGTGGGGGGGGGGGGGGGGGGAGGAGAGGCAGTCGTGGTGATGCAGGTGTAGCCAGGAAGTGTACCAGTCATGGGAGCCACACCACTGTACCAGTCATGGGCGCCACACCACTGTACCAGTCATGGAGCCACACCACTGTACCAGTCATGGCGCCACACCACTGTACCAGTCATGGAGCCACACCACTGTACCAGTCATGGGCGCCACACCACTGTACCAGTCACGGAGCCACACCACTGTACCAGTCATGAGCGCCACACCACTGTACCAGTCACTGTACCAGTCATGAGCGCCACAACACTGTACCAGTCATGGGAGCCACACCACTGTACCAGTCATGAGCGCCACAACACTGTACCAGTCATGGGAGCCACACCACTGTACCAGTCATGGGAGCCACACCACTGTACCAGTCATGGGAGCCACACCACTGTACCAGTCATGGGAGCCACACCACTGTACCAGTCATGGGCGCCACACCACTGTACCAGTCATTGGAGCCACACCACTGTACCAGTCATGGGCGCCACACCACTGAACCAGTCATGGGAGCCACACCACTGTACCAGTCATGAGCGCCACAACACTGTACCAGTCATGGGAGCCACACCACTGTACCAGTCATTGGAGCCACACCACTGTACCAGTCATTGGAGCCACACCACTGTACCAGTCATGGGCGCCACACCACTGTACCAGTCATGGGAGCCACACCACTGTACCAGTCATGAGCGCCACAACACTGTACCAGTCATGGGAGCCACACCACTGTACCAGTCATGGGAGCCACACCACTGTACCAGTCATGGGCGCCACACCACTGTACCAGTCAGGGGAGCCACACCACTGTACCAGTCATGGGCGCCACACCACTGAACCAGTCATGGGAGCCACACCACTGTATCCCATTAATTCCCGTCGCGCGAACACATCCGGACCGCTGATACAGCTGCTCCCGTTATCCGGACTTGTCGTATGTACTCGGCTCTATCGTCTGTGATGTTTACCGGAGCCGGATAAGCCGATGCATCAAGAGCCACTGGGCAAATGGGCTCAATAGAGCTCCTCTCGTCATTATTGCACGCCGGAAACAAAGCTCTGATACCTGACGTAATCTCCCGTCGTCACTTCAAGCTCAGATCATTAATTGGACCTGGATGAGTATTTCTGACCAGGTTATATATTCATAATATGCGGCAGGTACAATACGCTCAACCAATTAACATGAACTATTCGTTTGTATTATTGTAATTGATTTGAGCCCTTGTCTGGTGATTATATTCGCGCGTGTGCTTCTTTCTTTCTTTCTTCTGATTTGCGCTTTGTCGCCATCTCTTTTTTTTGCGTTTTTTTTTCTTTACTGGCGTTCATTGTGCTTCTCTGCTCTCTAATTCCTCCTTCGCTAACGTCTCGCTTGTGTTAACGATGTGTCTGGCCACTCTTTGTCTAGTTCGTTTTTATTAGTTTTCCTCATTTTAGTTTTTTTTAAAGCGGTCGGAAGGTCGTTCTTATCTGTGTTCAGTCTTGCTCTCTGGTCATTATGTGAAGGATATATATTACTGCAGTTACTCTCTATTTCCATTTTCTTTAATATCTTTCTCGAGATTTCAGAATTTAAGAAAATCTAGTTGAATACATGATTATTATTCCATGGATGAATACATCGTAATTCTTCGCTGGTAATCAATTTGAAGTATGTCTGTATATCTCGTTGCTAATGTACACTAAGGGGTATACTTTATACTTTTATTCGTAGACGGGTATACTGTGTTCTGGACAAAGGTATACATACGTTTTGATTGGTCGTTAAGGTATTGTGGTGGCCTTGATGACCCTCCAGTGGTTGAGAGGCTTAACACCAAACAAGTTGAAACTCATTGACTATTTATTTTAATTTTAATATGTTAACTCATATTTATTCTGTTGGAAGATCGGAAGATACGACTTTATTTAGTATCAAAACAAATTTAGTCCCCTCCCCGTGCCAGCATCTTGTTCCATCTTTGTCCCAGCACCCATCACCCTTCCCACTCTCTGTCCCAGCACCCATCACCCTTCCCACTCTCTGTCCCAGCACCCATCACCCTTCCCACTCTCTGTCCCAGCACCCATCACCCTTCCCACTCTCTGTCCCAGCACCCATCACCCTTCCCACTCTCTGTCCCAGCACCCATCACCCTTCCCACTCTCTGTCCCAGCACCCATCACCCTTCCCACTCTCTGTCCCAGCACCCATCACCCTTCCCACTCTCTGTCCCAGCACTCATCACCCTTCCCACTCTCTGTCCCAGCACCCATCACCCTTCTAACTCTCTGTCCCAGCACCCATCACCCTTCCCACTCTCTGTCCCAGCACCCATCACCCTTCCCACTCTCTGTCCCAGCACTCAGCCCCCGCACCGTGTCCCAGCTTTCCCTCCCTCCTGGGCGTTGGGGAGCTGGGAGGCCGAGAGGGGAGGAGGGGTCCCACCTGCAGTCATTGATGAACACAAATAGAAGGTTTTGGACCCGCCAAAGACCTTTTGTCTCTACCTCCCTCCCTCGGGAGGTGTCTACCTCCCTTCCTCCCTCCCTCTGGAGGTGTCTACCTCCCTCCCTCTGGAGGTGTCTACCTCCCTCCCTCTGGAGGTGTCTACCTCCCTCCCTCTGGAGGTGTCTACCTCCCTCCCTCTGAAGGTGTCTACCTCCCTCCCTCCCTCGGGAAGTGTCTACCTCCCTCCCTCTGGAGGTGTCTACCTCCCTCCCTCTGGAGGTGTCTACCTCCCTCCCTCCCTCGGGAAGTGTCTACCTCCCTCCCTCTGGAGGTGTCTACCTCCCTCCCTCTGGAGGTGTCTACCTCCCTCCCTCTGAAGGTGTCTACCTCCCTCCCTCCCTCTGGAGGTGTCTAC